CCGTCGATAGAATCCTTTCCCCCATAGAATCTCTCCGGCACGTTAGGATGAGGCGTTTAGCATGCTTTCTACACCCTCAAATATTTTCGTGCTTTTAAATGGTGTCAGTGGAAAGATATTGACGTCCCGAGGGTGGGACACCATGTGGTTGCGAGTTTAGGTCGGATTTGACGGGGTCGCAAAGTGTCACAAGATCAGGCATTCGATTTATAGCGCCGGGTGTAGAGCACGCATGGGTACAAGATTTTTCCAGAGGACCAGAGCACGAACGGGCGCTCGTTTCGACGATGCACTGAGCGATCGCAGAGAGGTACGTTCGTCGGTCAAAGAAAACTTCAGGGCGCTAATCTTGGCCAGCACCCCAGCCATGCGCTGCAGCATATAAGTAAGGTCGTGGGGTCGGATAAGAGACTCAGTCTAAGGGGCGCGAGGATGAGTGCGACCTTGAGCCTACTACAGCAGGACTAGGCCGGCGTACGTTACAGTAATTCACAAACAGAACGTCAGTTCTGATTGTGCTTAGGGTACCAAAAATGTCGCGAATCGGCTTATATAATCGTGCACTTAGTCATCCTTGTCTTGTGACTCAGGGGTCCTCGTTCAATTCTCACTTGCTCCTGGCTCTATAAGTCTCCAGGCTTGTGCTTTGCCCTGGCTCTTCTCTAGCTGAACCATCTTGTAGATCACCCCCGATTTCCTTCTAGCAGAATCGCAAAACCAACCAGATGAGGATTAGACTGTTACAGTCCTGGTCCAGACAGTCCGGCACGTGGCTTGCCTCTCTCTGTTCATATCATTTCGTCCGATTCACTAATTGCCTCAGGTATTTAATTTCCTAAACTCTTCATTCACTGTACATGTATTATCAACTCTCTCGATGTTCTCTCGTCTTCAAATGACACTGAGCAAAGACAACAATTTAAACGCACGTACCACTCGGATGGCATGCCCACAACCTCAGCATCTGGCTTCCATATTCTCACCATGCCCACAATTTTTAGAAGACTCCGGCCGACTGTGAGTGATGCTGATTTTTGCACTGGACATGAAGAGGCGGGGAGTCTGCGCCGTGGGTCAATCAACTTCTCGATATGCGGCCACGGCGGCAAGAGCCTCCTTCTCTCGAGTATACAGGGTCACCACTGTTTATCCCACCGTTCTCTGAGTCTCGGAACCCCCTCTTCTCCTATCCTCCCTCATCCATTTATTACCTGATTCTCGCCTCACGGATCGTTGGTCTGATTCGTTTCCGCGTTCATCGCTATGATTAATCTCTCTGAACTGGAGCTTTTCATTTCGGTTCTTTGTGCAGTTGCTCAGTCATTGTCATTGGGATCTTTCTCACTGTGGCTCCTCCACTCCCTTTCGGCACTGGATGGCTTCATACACTCCCCCTTGGACTCAGTCCTAACTGTCTTTGCACTGCAAGTATACCTGGATAAGCTTCTGCTTCTTCGTTCTAGTCCCGTGTAAGCTTCCGTTTGTATCATGCTCATGTTAAGCTCACAGCCAATCACTCCAACCGCGCAAGCGGGCATTTCGGGGAGAACTAAAGGCAAAGGGAGGGCATTTTAGGGATAGATGTCTGAGTATTCTCGGTATGCTTTCGATTTACATGCACACTGTAGCAATCTATTTGTTGTTGGCAGAGTTCCGTCAATGGTGCAGCAAACCCTTTACATTGAGACTTCGAACAATGCCAGATGGCAGAACAACTTAAAAGAAATCTAAAAGTTGCTCACTTAATTGACACCCAGAATATTATTTTTCTGTTTGTGCCCCGCCGCTTGCCGGCCATTCAATTTCATGTGACGTAGTCTCTCGAGAGACCGTACCGAGTTACCGCGTGGGCGGTTATTCTGGAATCGCGGAGTTTGAATTTCCCTTGCCCAAATGCGCGATGCCCTTGTGCAACCCTCCTGCCCGTTCAAATGACACAGAAACAGGTGAAAGCTGATGAATACCTCCCTAAAGGGCTGTGCAATATTTTGGGAGATTTTAAGCCCATTTCCACCTCATTTTCAAATTCCGTTGCAAGTTGATTGCGTAATCACAGGCCCAATCATCGTCCTGTTTTACGGATTTCGGAGACACATGTTGAAATTCTGAGGAGACAGAGATTTCCACACTGGTTAGGCAACCGCATCTATGTAGAAATTTCATGAAACATCGCGCCCCAAGCAAACAGCACTTCGCGATGTGAGTTCAATCTCCGTGACAATGGTGCACTGACTAAGTGTGACGTGACATGGCTCGGTACGTCACTCCTTTCCTGCAGCGCGCTGACCCCGCTTTCTGGCATCTGCAGCCCTACGCCCCCAGCGTCGACCTTGAGGGCAACGCGAGATCGCTTGGATGGACCCGAGATCTCGTCGATAGGGACTGGTGGACGACGGGCACGATACGGATACGGATACGGTGCGTTATTCTCGGCTAGATCTACACGCGGGGGCTAATGCTGCCTTTCTTTGCTGCAGAGCTCGCGAATGAGTGGCTGCGACGGGCGTGCTGCCGAGAGCGGCTGCGCGGGCTCTGTGGATGCATCGACGGCCCCGTTGTGCTGACCTCGACCTCGGATCTCTGGGATAGTCTATAGAGCCGGTTGGACGGTGCACGCGAGCCGCTTGGATCGAAGGTGCGGCATTCTTTCTGTCTACGTCTGCACCCGAGCACTGACGGGCTCCTTCCTCTCGGCAGACCTCTCGACCTCGGTGCTGGATCGAGATGATTGAGGGATGGCGCGGTCTTATATCGGAGGCGCTTACGTCTACGACCTCCTCACCCATGCTCCTTTCGTTTACGCCACGCTTCCCCTCACCCCGCCACTGACGCTACGGTCGGCGCTCACCCCTATATCCTCCCTCCTTCCTTACTTCCCCCCTCACGCTCCTCTCATCTTCCCCTTCTCCTCCACCTCCTCCTTCCTCCGCTCCCTCTCCGCCATGCTCTTCCAGTCCTCTCCATCCCCGCGTATTCCGGCGCCGACGGTGCTCGCCACCTCCTCGGAATCCTTCCCGTGCCTGTGCGTTTCTCCGTCCGCACCTCCCCGCCCTCTTTCCCCCTTCGCGCCCATACGCTACTACCCCCCCGCCCGTCCTCGTACTTCCTCCTTCGCGTTCTTCCACACCCTCCTTCGCATTCCCGCCCCTCTCCTTCTACTCGTACCCTTCACCTTGTTCCGCCGACGATGACGTTACACCCGTTTCCCGTACTCGTACTTTCATCCCCTTTCCTCATGCTCCTCCTTTCCCATACTCTTCCCGCTCCGCCTTTCCCCGTCCCCCGTTGCATCTTCCATGCACCCTTCTCTCGGCGTCTGGGTCGTCGCCGGGCTGACACCGGCGCTCATCCATCTTTTCCTTACCGCCTATCTGCTCCTTTCTCGGGCCGTCCCCATCCTCCGCGTCCTTCTGCCTAACTCATCGTCGGCCCATCTTTCCCCATCCCCCGCGTCTTCCGTTCCGTCGGCGCTCGCGCCCATATCCTCCTACTCTCCCACTTAAAGTGGGCGACCAAATATTTGGCCGTGATAACCGATTGTTTTTAGTAGGGATCATACTATTAACAAACTAGACATACCCGCCTCTTACCATCATCATCTCAAACGCCGAAGACTAAAATTTGAGTTCTCCCTGGGGCTTATATTGTCATGTTTAGTTTTCACGCCGTACTCGTGGAATGGCAAATCATCGCTTCCTGACTGTGTCGACAATCACACTCTTCATTCTCGGCACTGCTCATTGCGCCCTCGCGCTCGCCAGAACCGTACTCCATGCAAGGATCGGGGTGAGAACCTGAATGATGAAGCGTCCTCCTCGGCCTTTGCGAACTTCTACGTCTATCTCTCGGTGAATTATGCTGCTAGCGGAGTTTATGTTACAAGCAAGTGCGTCCCGTGGTTTCGGGAGGCTAGGTATCTAACGAGACTCCTCCGAAGCGTGCGTGCAGATTCAATTCTCGTATGGCTCACTAGACATCCGACTTGCGTCTCTCATCACTCACCCACAGATCTTTCGCTGCTACGCAATGTGGGATTTCCGAGGCAAGATCATCCATCGTCTTTCCCACACTTCTGACCTCGGCCGTCGCAGGTGAGCGTCTGAATACCAGCCGAAGCCGGCGATTCACTGCTCAGTTCTCGGGTACTCCGATGTTATCAAAACCGCCGCTGCTCGTAACCTCGGACACGCATTTTAATTCCCTATGTCTATTTCAACGTCGTTTTTCACGAGTCTCATCGTGATCTCTTCCGTCCGTGTGGCGCCTAGAATGAGAAAAAGAGTGAGAGTTGAGACGAGCATATGGCCGGGTTCGAGTCCGAGTCGAACGGGCTCCCTGGTGAATGCTCTCTGCAACGAAATCATTACTGTAGATGACGGGTGCGCACCGCGCGCTATCCGGCTGAGTCAATACGCGACGTCGTTGGAAGAGCCTTGGTCTTGGAGAGGTTGGAGGCGCGAATGAGTTAGCTGTGGGTCCGAAGACTGGGAAAGGAAAGCTTCGGAGCTCACGTTTTGGATAGCCCGAGGTATACATGGTTTGTGCCGCCGGTCAAAATTCTGCGAGGTTCCGGGGGCGATCCATCAGATGATTGGATCAAGGGAAAGAAGAACAAATGGAATCGAGAAAGTCAACTCCAGGGTCGGGAACCGGGCACCGCAGTCACAGGATAGAGGATGTTATGAATGATGAGTAAAGGAACGTGCCCATCTAGGTGCGGGAAAGACTGTGAGGCATTTGGTGCGTGCAGAGCCGGAAGCGAAGTGAAAGTTCTGGATGAAATTAAAGTCTGGCGCCAAGAAACTATAAGGGAAGGTAGTAAAAGGATACGGATGTCGTTGGATGAGTCTTGGTCTATCCGGTACGGAGTTTGCAGGCGCCGCGGGACTACCTGTGGAAGACAGGGCGGGAAACAAATGTCCACTGCGTTTTTGTCACCGACAGACGAAGGCGCGGGTATCCGGCGTAGAGTAGGAAAAATAAAAGTCGGTTCCCTCTTATGGTCCAAGCCCGAGTCGAATGAGCGTCTCCTGCATAGTATACATATGCGGTCTCCAGCCATCAGATGCAGGTGCGAACCACTTCACAATTGGACCTTGGAAGTACGCGGCGGAACCCGAATCAGTGTAGGAAGTATGCTTGCCTACGGGCTAATAACGACGAACCGGAAGAGAAGATATATCGCCGGTACATCAGGCTGCGGGACCTACAAACCCGGTCAGTAAATCGTTATCGTGCGAGCCAGTCGCGCGAAATCTCGAGGACGGAGGAGTCACGCATACGAAGAGAGAAATGAAACACTACTTCCCCTGCCCTTACGGTCCAATCTCGAGGCGAACGGGCCTGTCCTGCACGGTATGGATCATTAGTCCAGAGCCAGATGGTGTAGGCGCGGGCGACTCCGCAATTGGACCATGGTACTGCGGGGGGAGCACGAGCACGTGCGAGACTATACCTTTCTAGCGCTGGGTGGACTCTGAATAAGTGTGAGAAGAGTGATAAACGGAGATTCAGGAAATAACTAACCGACAGTAAAAATATGTCGCTGGCAGGTAGAACGACGAGGACGGGATTCTGTAAGCGATCAATCCGAGGAGGTACGCACACGAGGGAAACCCCCCCCTTGACTACGGTCCAAGCCCTAGTCGAACAGGCGTCTCCTGCATAGTCACTGCATGATCGGCCATGGGATGCAGGTGCGGGACACTCCGCAACTAGACCTTACTATTATGGAGGGCGCCGTCAATAGGTGGCAAAATAATCTGTGGGTGGATGGCACAAGCGGTGAATCGTACCAAGGCGTTCGAGCGCGCGGTGTTTGATGAGAGATTTGGGTATCGAAACAATATCCGGAGTCGGGGCTACGTAGCCGTGAGATAAGGGTTTGGAGTAGCGCGTCGTGGTGGGGACTCCGGGTCTCCTGCACACCGAATTCTATAGCCAAAGGAGGACTGATGGAATTCGAGACACGAGGGCGTGATCAAGGAGCGCGAAGCCAAACAGTGACCAAGTCTGCATCGAGTAGGATAGTCCCGGGTAAGACAGATCCCAAAAGACGCATCAGACGAGATCTGATGATCTCAAGAGTTTCGAGCGCTCAATTCTATCTGTGGGATGCCCATGGAATAAAGCGCCTGAATTAAGTTGCCCCATTGGATTCCACGAGATTTGGATGTCCCTGCACTTGCGCGAGAGAGCGAACAACGCCAGGAAATGGCAGTGCGAAATGATTTCTTGTAGATGCCAGAGGCTCCGCGAGTCGTTCGAGATCCAAGGCTTTCTCGTGTCCGGGAGAGGAGAGATGAGAGGAGGGTTTGAGCGCGCATTGACCGGAGCTAAGCAAGGCAGAGAGATCGCAAACATGAGACGCATGGTGGTTGGAGGCAGGAGTGAAAAGACGGATCAATCATCACGCGGCATCGCCACGTGGCTCCCGCGGCCTCTCTCGAGCTCTCTTGCGTTGACATCCACACCAACGTCCAGACGGCGGCGCGCCGCATTCCGGCTCCAGACCGTCCCCGACTATGGAGAACTCATCTTGCAATGGCCAAATTTCCCTTGTGCCGCTGCCAGCATTACATACATCGCCAACGCTTCCCGAAAGTTCCCGAAGTCATCCTCGGTCTCGCTCGGGGTACTTTTCGCTCTTTCTGCTCTAAAGAACTGCGGGAAAATATCCGCGCCTCGTCGGTGACCAGCACATGCTATGTCATCGTCACCCTCCCAAACTAGGCCTATCCCGCAATTCAATAAGACCACGTGCACGATGCGCATATCAGCACCACCCCACCACCTCCGTCCCCATCGCGCATCACTGCACCCCTCACGTTGGCTTCACCTACAGGTCTAGCTCCCTTCCGCCCATGTGCGCATCCACGCACGATTTTCTTGCGCCTCCATTTACCGTCGCAGACAGCTCCACCTTTCGCTGCTGCCGCCAGCCTGCTCGCGCGCGTCTGTAGGCGGCCTACAGCCCCCGGTGCTCAAGCTCACAGCGCAACTCGACAGCTGCCCGGCCCTCACATCCATGTCTGTCAGATGAACACCCATTCTGCCGTCGCGTCGTCGCCTGCGGGCCCTGGGGAAATGGCATCCACGACGTCTGCAAAACCACATACCCCCGCCCGTATCATCCAC